TCTGCGGCGAGCAGCACAGCTCCGAGGGCCGCAGAGTCAGGCAGTGCAACTTCGACCTGTACGACTGGGTCGAGTACCGCGGGTTCGCGCACTACGGAGGCCAGCCGTGCCTCTGGCTCGCGAACCACAGCCGTGCGGCCGCCGGCCCACGAAGAGGCCGACGGCCTGGCCGCGCGCCGTGCCGCGCTGCCTGAGTGGGCGGCCGCGCGCTGCGCACGCTGAGGGCGCTGACGGGCCCCCTTTCTTTTTTGAAAACCCGGCCCCTTCCTCCCCCCCCGTGATATTATTGGTCCCTGGTCCTCCCCCTCCCTTGGGGTCGGGTTCACGGGGCCGCCGTCTGAGTGCCCGCACGGCCCTGCTGGGCCGCTGTGGAGCCCTCCGCGCCTGCGGGGCGCATGACAAGACGCTGCCTTGCGAGAAACGGCAGAAACGGCAGGAGGAGGAGGAGGCGGAGGAGAAGGAGGAGGACCAGGAGGAGGAGGAGGAGGAGGGGCAGGGGGAGGAGGGAGGAGGGAGGAAGAGCAAGAGGAGGAGGAGGAGGAAAAGGGGGAGGGGGAGGAGGGAGGAGGAGGAAAAGCAGGAGGAGGAGGAGGACGAGGAGGAGGAGGGGAGGAGGGGGCATAGAGGCACGCTGCCACATGCTCCAGGCGCCGGGACCCCTCCCTGCACGCACCTCGTCGCGCTGCGCGCGCCGAGTTGCGGGGAGGGGCGCCGATGGCCCAGGGCCCCCGCCACTGTGTCGGTGTCGGTTAACCGATCCCCATTCCCATCCGCATCCCCTTCGAGACCCCCACCAACTTACCACCCCAGTTGAGGATACACCCCTCGAAACCCGAATGGAGCGGCCTATATCCCTAGGGAGGTAAATCGGCCAGTGGGGCCCAGGCCACGCCAGTGGGGATAGGGATCGGATAAACGAAACTCAGTCATGGGGTCAGAGCTAAGGCTAAGTCGGGCATGTCCCTCTACAGGAGGGATACTCCCAAATGGTATAGAAATGCGGTCGAGCACCAGATTGAGAAACCTCCCCCCGAAGAGCTGGGCCAGCGTTTTTTTGGGCCAGCTTACTGGCCCAGTGTCTTGAGTGCGCTCGCCCCTCCAGCGTCAGCACGAAAACGTGGCCCAGGCTTGTCTTTAGGAACTTCTGGGAAGCTGGCCCAGGTTTCTTGCATGATCATGCTCTTGATCATAGGTTCGGCAGTAGTTTGGGGACGAGTTGTCTTGTTGTCCCGAATTCTAGGGTAGTGTTAGACTCTCTGTTTAAACATTGTCTTCCAGCACCCACGTGTAGGAGGACGTGCCCGACCTAACGCTAAGGTGGGTCAGCCAATCCACTCTGGTTCACCCGGGTTTGGGAACCACGTGGGCCCGATTATTTTTGTTTCGTCTTCCGCTGGCCCTGGTTTGGGAGCTACAGTGGAGACCCATGCCAGGAAATTCCCTGCTTGCCTCCAGGGTGCCCTGGGTGTCTTGGGTTTCGATTGTTTTTTCTGTGGAAAGCGTGACGTTCCCACACCAAGAGTCCATGGACGTCCTGGGGTCTCAGGGTTGGGTTTCTTGTGGAAGGTTTCTTGTGGACTGGCCTCCGTTGTCGTTAACGGGGTCAGCGCTTAGGTCGGTCAGCCAATCCACTCTGGCTGACCCGGGTTTGGGAACTACGTTGGCCCGATTGTTTTTCTTTCGTCTTCCGCTGACCCGGGTTTGGGAACTGCAGTGGAGACCCATGCCAAGAAATTCTGGTTGCTGCTAAGGTGCCCTGGGCGTCTTTGGTTTCGATTGTTTTTCTGTGGATAGCGTGACGTTCCCACACCAAGAATCTATGAACGTCCTTATGTCTCAGGGTTGGGTTTCTTGTGGAAGGTTTCTTGTGGACTGGCCTCCGTTGTCGTTAACGGGGTCAGCGCTTAGGTGGGTCAGCCAATCCACTCTGGCCGACCCGGGTTTGGGAACCACGTGGGCCCGATTGCTATTCTCCCGTCTTCCGCTGACCCGTTTTTTCGGAGCTGCTGAGCGGCCGCCCAGGTTCTGCGACAGGGACCTGGCCGACCCAGGTGTGGGCTGACCTGGGCCAGTGCGTCCCCAGATTGCATGTGCAGTTGCCGTTTCACAGTAACGGCGCGACCATATCTTCTAGTTGGGAGGTCCGCGCGGATTTCGTGGCTTGGCGTTGGGTCCCCTGGCGCCGGCGCCGCCTCCGGCGCCGGCCCTGGCGCGCTCCGCGCGCCAGGGAGGGTGTCCAGCGCCGATCTGGGAAGGCCGCGCGGACCTCCGAAAGCTTATTTTTTAGGCGCTCGTGGCTCCAGGGCAGGGGCCGTGACGTCTCCCCGATGTCGTGCCACGCAATTTTTGGACAATTCGGTAGGATCTCCTGTGCGAAACCAGTTCGGTCGTTGTTTTTTTATTCCTCGTTTTGCCGATCGGCGCGGCCCTCGCACCCCCCCCACCCCCCCCTGGAGTGGATCTTGGCTGTCTTTTGGCGCCGCCTGTTTCGAGCAGGTGGAGGCTCCCCCACAGGACGCACGGTCCCAAACAGTCGCACTAAGCAGACGTCCGGAGCCAGACCCCCCCCCTCTCCCCCGCCCTTCCGCCCAAAATTCAGAGCGTGAATTACCTACCCCGCTTTCGCTGCCAGGCAAAACCAAGTCACACCACGCGACTCCCCGTCGAGCGGCCTGACCAGTGCGGGCCGTAGATTGGCATCGCTTGGTAGCTCTTGGAAGCGAGGGTGGTCAAAAGCGAGGGTGGTCAAAACGCAGAAAAAAAGACGCTCACCAGTGCGAAACTGGCTTGCCTGCAGGTGCCCCCACGGGCATTCTTGATCCCCCGATGGCCTCCGGGATCCCCATATTTCAAGCAGTGGCGAGGCGTCCAGGTTTGCCAACAGGCCCACCAAAACATGTTCCGAGAACCTTTCGGGTGGTTTGCGCGAGAGTGGTTGAGACCGTCTTTTTTAATGCATCGTTTTTGTTTTGGTCAGGTGAACATTTTTGTTCTCGTTATTAAAACCTTCTTTTCTTCTGTGGACATCATGGTAGGCCTATAGCAATGCCCGGACGGTCGGTCCCTGCTAAAAACAGAAAAACGTGAACGCCGTTTGAAGCTCAGAGAACGAAGTTGAATGGGCCCCTAGATTCTTACCGTAAGGTTTCTCTTCAAATGTGTACGCCGTGTGTCTCCCGTGACCTCCTCTAGTCCGCGCGCATGTCTCGTGCCATGATGCGTTGAGCCCCTCTTCCTTTCCCCCCCTCTTCGACGCACCCGAGTCTGGCGCCAGTGGAGAAGCCGTCAGCGGACGTCTGATTTCTTGTTGCCGACGTGCATATTGCTCCTCTCTCACAGCATCCTGTCGCCACCCCTGGAGCCATCGCGGCCAGCGTTTTGGGGCTGAGTGTGTTTGTGTGTGTTCTGTGTGTCTTGTGTGTGTGTTGTGAGTGTGGGTTTATGTGTACAGCTGTGTGTATATATATGTATGTATGTATGTGTCTATGTGCGTACGTCTGTACGCGCGTGTGTGTGTGTGAGAGTGTGTGTGTGTGCGTGCGTGCGTGTGTGTGTAGGTTTGTGTGTGAGGCTGTGTGTGTTGTTCGTGTGTGTGTGTATGTGGCTGTGTGTGGGTGATGTGATGTGTTAGTTGTTGTGTGCGTGCGCGCGTACGTTCGTATGTGTGTTGTGCTATGGTGCGCTGCGTTGTGCTGGGTGTCGTTGCCTAATGGTGTGGCGTGTTTTGTTGTATTGTGTTGAGCTTTGCTCTGGTGTGTTCTGGTGTGTCGGGATTTGTTGTGTGGTGCTGTTCTGTGTTGCGCTGTTATGTGGTGTGGTGTGGTGTCGTTCGGTGTGTGTGTGTGTGGTGAGTGGTGTTTGTGTATGTGGTGTGTAGTATCCTGTGTTATGTTGTGGTGAGGCGTGTTGTGATGTGTTGTGCTGCCTTGTGGTGTGGTGTGTTGTTTTGTGCTAGGTTGTGCAGTGTTGTGTGTTGTGGTGGATGGTTGGATGTTGTGATGCGTTGTGATTTGTGTCGTGTTGTGTGTTGTGGGTTGTGCTGTGGTGCTGTGTGGTGTGGTATGGCGCGGTGTGGTTTCATGTGGTGTGGTGTGGTGTGGTGTAGTGTGGCTTGGTGTGGTCTGCAGTGTTGTGTTGTGTTATGTGCGTGCTGCGTGGTCTGGTGTATTGTGTTGTGTTGTGTTAGCTAGTGGTGTGTTGTGATGTGCTGTGGTCTGGTGTATTGTGTTGTGGTGTGGTGTGGTGTGTTGTGTTGGCTTGTGTGTTGTGGTGTAGTGTGGTGTGGTGTCATGTTGTGTGGTGTGGTGTGTGTTGTGTGGTATGTGTCATGTTGTGCGGCGTCATGCTGTGTTTTGTGTTGTGCGGTGTGGTGTGGTGTTGTGTGGTGCGTATGTGTGTTGGTCAGGGGGGCTGTGGGTTGGCCCCCCCATCCCCTTCGAAATTGCTTCGATATGGGGCACGAACCTATCACAACTGGTGAGACACGGCCACCCCAACCCTACCCCCCGTGTTTCACCAAGCCCCCGACCATGTTTCCTCCTCGTGTTCTCCTTCTGGAAACCTTTCCGAGAAACCTCGGAGAACCATGGAACACATTTCATTTCGCGACACACCTTCTCGTTCTCTGGATTGGGCTGTTGCCTTTTTCAGCCTGGCTGCCAGTGCTCTCCAGTGCTCTGCCTGGCCGGAACTACCGACCAGCATTGTGTGTACAGTACAGTGAGCCTAGGGCGCTGTAAGCGCTACAGATCCTCGAGCCCTCGACGCCCTCGTTGATCCTCGACTCCGACGAAGGCATCTATACACCACCACCGTGCCAGACCAGGGCCATCCCGGGCCGTAGGATGGTGGTGGTGTATAGATGCTTTCTGCGTGTCGACGCCCTCGCTCTAGTCGTCGATCCTCGTCGCCCTCGACGCCGCCGTCTCGTCGTCGCCCTCGACGCCGCCCTCCCGCGCCCGACGAGCCCCCGGAGCCTCGGGGCCCGTGGACTCGACGAGGGTCACCTTCCTGCCGGACGCCGGCGAGGACGAGAACGCGGAGCCCCCAGCGGACGTCTGAGGGCGGCCCGCCGTCGGCCGGACGGGGGCACCGATCGAGGCTCGGAGGTTGATAGACCTCCTACCCTGACGCGTCGCCCTGACGCGTCGATGGGCGAATTGGCCGCTTTCGGTTCGCGAGGGGGCGCCAAGGCCGTCATTGGTGCGGGTCCAGGTCCATCGGTTTCGGTCCTAGGCCGTTTTCACTAGAGGGTGGTTTGCTAAAGGGAGGTTTGTCCACCGCCGAGAGGCCCAGACAATCGACGTCTTGAGCAGACTGCAGAACTCGGCGGCGAGCGAGGGGGGGAGTGACAATGAAAAGGCTTTCCCGAAAGGCTCGGAAGCCCCCAGGCCTTCTGAGACGATTTCCACGAATTCAACGATGACGAAAATAGTTTCTCAGAAAGCGCGAGGGCTTCTGAGAAGTCCCGCCGCTTGCTGAGAAGGCCTTCTCCCTCTCACTTCCCTTCCTCGCTCGCCGCCACAAAAAATAACACGAACCCCAGGTCGTCCAAGAAGCACCACCACTCCTCCTCCTCCTCCTCCTCCTCCTCCTCCTCCTCCTCCTCCTCCTCCCCCTCCTCCTCCTCCTCCTCCTCCTCCTCCTCCTCCTCCTCAAACACACTTCGCCCGACGACCCGTTCTGGCTTCCAGACGCTCACCGAGCCCACCGCCTCAGGCGATCCCCCCCCCCCTCGAACGCACCGCGAATCAACGGCGAGCGAGGGGGGAAGTGAGAAGGAGAAGGCCTTATCAGACGGCGGCGGGACTTCTCAGAAACCCTCGCGCCGTCTGAGAAGTTTTTGCTGTCCTCGGGGGATGCTTGGAAATCTTCTCAGAAGGCCGGGGGGCTTGAAGGTCTTCTCCTTCTCATTCCCCCCTTCGCTCGCCGCCGAGCGAAAGACGGCGTGAACATCACGGCCACAGCCCTACGTACAGGGCCCAAGATTTTGTGCTGCCTGGAGCCACATGCCCAAACCAGTGCGACATCATCGCTCGATGCGCGAGGATTGCGGCGCAGGGATCTCGAGGGGTTCTGCTCAAAACAGTTGGGTGTCTGCAGTTGCGAAGGGATGCTCCCCGTCGAGTGTGCAGGGTGATTTGTTTTTGTTGTAGCGTGGATACAACGTGCTGGATTGAGCGGCTATCGGCTGGCTAGTTGGAGAGAGGGGGGCATAAGAGGGAATATGTAATAGGGATAATGAATGAGGATGCGGAGGGGGGCGAGTGGCACAGAAGGAGGGGCTCCACCGACGGCCTCGGGAGCCCCATAGGGAGCTCCACCGAAGGCCTCAGTGGCTGCGTTCGCACGTGCCCACCGCACCCAGTTTGGCACACCCCTCACACGTGTCGTGGCCCCATTCGGAGTCCCACCTACGGCCCCAGTTGCTTTCGCATGCGCCCACTGCACCCACTTTGGCACACCGTTCACACGTTTCGTGGCCCCATAGGGGGCTCCAAGGGCGGCCCCAGTGGCTGCGTTCGCATGCGCCCACGCGCCTCGTGGCCCCAACAAGGAGTCCCACCTACGGCCTCACTGGCTGCCGTCGCATGCGCCCACCACATTTTTCTGCTGGCACACCCTTCACCCATCTCGTGGCCCCGTAGGGAGCCCCCCCGAGCTGCGTTCGCAGGCGCCCACCGCACCAATATTGCCACACACACACACACACACACCTCACACGCTTCGTGGCCCCATAAGGTGAGCTCCACCCACGGCCCCAGCGGTTCTGCTCGCATGCGCCCACCGCACCCATTTTGGCACACCGTTCACACGCGTCGGGGCCACGTCGGGAGCTCCACCGACGGCCCCGGTGGCTGCGTTCGCATGCGCCCACCGCACTCATTGAGGCACACCCCTCACGCGTTTCGTGGCCCTATACGGAGCCCTTTTTTTCGAATGCTGTGCGCAGAACAACGTTACCCACAGCTGCGTCTGTGCGGGCCCTCTGCGCCAGGCAGTTTTCATGCCCCCTCCGGGGCTTAGCATCGCTCGGACGTGTGCATTTTTCCTTTCGGCGAGGACCATCGGGGAACATCCTTGATCACTTCGCGAAAAAACCACGCACGACACCGAAAAAGGCGGACAAGGAGGATGAGGAGGAGGAGGAGCAGTGATAATGAGGAGGGGAGGGAAGGTGCGAGGAGGTAGGATGTAAAGGGAGCCAGGAGGAGGCGGGAGGTGGAAAGATAGGGAGGAAGGACGCGGAAGGGAGGGGAAGAGCTGGAATAGGAGAAAGGCGGATACGGGGGGAACAGGTGGAGGATGATGAGGACGTCGACGTGAGCTTGTTTGGCGTAGTGTGGCCTCTCTTGCCAGATTGTTTGCGGCGCTCCCTCGCGTGAGTTAGGATTTTCCTGGCATCCCAATGATATAATACTTCGCTGTGCTAGTTTTGGCCTCTGTTGTTCTTCACCCCTCCACCCCCGCTTCTCCTGCTCCGCCTGCCTCCCACCCTCCCCTCTTGTCGGCTTTCCCCTGCTGGTCCATCCGCCCTCCATCCCTGCTCTCCGATCATCCAGGGCTTTAAGAACGCCCATCTCCTGGTTTCTGAGGCACTGTGCGCTGCACCTCCTGTGGGCTGACAGGGACACGCCCTGCGTATCGCGCGTGTCGCGCGGCGTCCTGGTTCTCTGGCCTCCGGGAGCTCCCAGGCGGTTCACAAACTTTTAACCTTGGGTAGTGGCGTTTTTTTCCATCCCCCAATGTCATCCAACTTCATCATCCCCGCTCTCTTCCCCTCCGTTTGGAGCGTGCGCTTCCTGCGTTTCCTGCAACCCTTTCCTCACCTCCCCACCCCGAGCCTTCCTCTTCGCCTCTCCTCCAGACACCCAGCGTCACGTTCGCGACGGACCCCTTGTCATCGTCCGCGTTTCCCCTCCTCCAGGCCCTCCTTCTCCTCCTTCAGCATCGCCGTCGGACATGTCCCAAAGCGCGTTCTTATTCAGAAGGCGAATGCACAACGCAAGTCCATCCCCTCCCCCCTCTCCCTCTCCTCTTTCCCCCTCCCCCCCTGGACCTGTACCAAACGTCGGCCCGTATCCAGCCCAGGCGTGCTTCGACGTGGTCTCTGTTATCCTGATCTTTTGTTGTGTTAATGTCCAAGGGGGCAATACGGGAACCAACATACTGCACCTTAAAGCGGCACAACGTCAAACTGACAGCACGGGAATCAGCATCAATCACCCTATAGGCATCTTCTTCTTTGCTTTTCTCTTCCTCGAAAGTCACGCCCACTGTTCCTCCAAGGTCGGGGTTGGTAGCTCTATGAGGTTCGTTGATGTCAGTCCAGGGGTTGCCCTAAACGGTGTTGTATCGATTTCGTGGGCCGTTTTCGTTTCGACTTCGTTCTGCGGTATACAGGCGGGTTGCAGACGAAACGAGGGAACACGAAACCGAAACGAACACGAAAAACACCGCTTGGGTACAGCCCTGTTTCAGTCTCCAAGGGCCAGCCTCCCTCCCGGGGACAAATACGAAGCATCCTGGCGTTAGGTCGGGCGTGTCCCCCTGCAGGCAGATTTTGGGCGAAACCTTAAACATACACAAAAAAATACCCCCGATAGCTCGAAACTAGTCCAAACAATAGTCCTCATCTCATTTGTTTGTGGCTATTTGTGGTTACCCACCGGCCGTTGAAAGTAGGTATTTTTGGATTCCCAGATCCCAATCCATTTCAAGCGCCTTCCTATCTCAATAATCGTGCTTCTGCTGTGTTTTGTGGTTCTCTGGGAGGGCCTGCACCCAATCGATGTGTTCCGCCTTCCTGCTTCGTGTTTTTACCTCCTGTGCACTCCTCCTGAACAGGGACAGGCCCGACGGAACCCTCTTCCCTCCTGAGGCGGAGGAGGGAGGAGGAGGAGGAGGAGGAGGAGGAGGAGGAGGTAGGGAGGAGCAAGAGGAGGGGAGAAGAGGAGGAGATAGAGGAGGATGAGGAGGGAGTAGGAGGAGAGGAGGAGAGAGGAGGAGAGAAGGAGGAGAAGAGAGGAGAAGAGGAGAGGAGGAGAAGGAGGAGGAGGAGGAGGAGGATAGAGGAGGAGGAGAGGAAGGAAGAGGAGGATGAAGAGGGGAGGAGGAGGAGGAGAGAGGAGGAGGAGGATAGGAGATTGAAGGAGGAGAAGGAGGAGGAGGAAAAGGAGGAAGGGGAGGAGTAGAGAAGGAGGAGAGGGAGGAGGGAGGGAGGAGGAGGGAGGAGGAGGGAAGAGAGGCGAGAAAAAAAAGGGGAGGAAGGAGCAAAGGAGGACAGGAGATGGAGGAGGCAAAGGATGAGGAGGAGAGGAGGAGGGAGTAAGTAGGAGAGAGGAAGGAGAGAAGGAGAGGAGGGAGGAAGGAGAGGAGGGTGAAGAGGAGGATGAGGAGAGGAGAAGGAAGGTAGCGAGAGAGGAGAGAGGAAAGGAGTGAAGGGAGCAGAGAGGAGAGGATGAGGAAGGAGAGGAGTGGTTAGACGGCAATGCGGCGTGAGGCGTGAAAGGAGAGGGAGGAGGAGGGTGGCGGTGCGGGGGCGGGGCGGGATATTTCGTCTTCTTCCGAGCGGAAGCCTTGGACTAGCTGCGCATGTCTGGGCGTCGGGGTGCGCATGCGTCGGCGGGGGCGCCGCTGCACGCAGCCCCAAGCAGCTTCTTCCGCAGGCGGAGCCGTAGCGGAAGGAGGCGGCGAGAGATGAGAAAGCAGCATCTGAAGCTTGATCTGGTCGGTCATCGTGCATTGCGTCGTCGGAGGATGGGGCCTTGGAAGCGCTCCCTCGCCGGGCGGTGGAGGCGTGGCACCGATCACCGGCCTCGAGCTTATCCCTGCAGTGGGGGCGCCTATCAAGACACCATCTGCTTTTCGTCAGGGTATCCTGGGTTTCTTCGTCCCTCGCGCTGCGCGGTGACTCCCCGCAGGCGTTGAAAGAGCTGCTGCGTTCAGGGTGCTCCAGGTTTCCTCTCAGGTGCACCTCGCGCACTGGTTCTCAGGGTTGGGTTTCTTGCGAGTGTTTCTTGCGACCGCGCCCGCACTGTAGCCTTCTGTTGTTCCCATCGTACATAAGGACCACATCCCTCGAAATGATCTCGAGCACCCGGAAACGTGTCGAAGGAGTGTCGAAACCGAGTCGGATGAGTGTCTCCCAGGGCCCAACACGTGAGAACCCTCGAGCTTCGGTATTGTTTATGGTGTTCGAAATCGCTTCTGGTGATCAATGCTAAAGTAGGTTGGAACATCATAACCCTAGCCAAAGGATTCACTCGAGCACGTCCCTCTACAGAAGGAAGGTTAACAAATGGTCAAAAAATAGTCTGGGGGCGAGTGTTAAACTATTTGGGGGCATTCTTGAACATATGCTTGGACTCTGTTCAATTTTTCGTCAAAAATCCGCCTCTAGAAGGACACGCCCGACATAACCCGAAGACTGACACGCCAAAAGGCGATGACAACCTCGGGGATGCTCCCCCAGAACTCAGGGGGATCCCAAAGGTCGGCATCGTGATGAGGCGATGCCCAGCATGGGGACGTGTTCCAGGCTGGTAGATCGAGCCCGTTCCGACAAACGGTGCAGGGACAACAACTACCATCTGAGGCGTTCCAAAATTGGCAGCGACCACAGCGATCACAACGATCGCAACAATCAAGGGTCAATGCTTGTCTACTGCCCTGGCCTCCTTGTACTCTCTCGCTCTCCCTCCGTCATCCTTGCACGCCTACCGTCAAGTTGGGCCTCTCCCTCTACAGGAGGAATATCCAAAAATAGACAAAAAATAGTCTGGGCACGACTTTTTGAATTTTCTTTGATCGTTTGAGAAATGGTTTGGTTTTTCCATTTGTAGGAGGACAGGCCCGGCCCGAACCTGCCGTGAACACGCGGAAGTAGGGGCCCCAGCTCTGGGACAGTCCCACGACGGGGGGGGGGCACGGCGACGGAGGCCACGGGGGGGGGGGGGGGGGCTGGCGCTCCCTCGCCAGGTGGGCGGTGGAAGCGTGGCATCGGGAGCTTAAGAGACGGGGGGTCAAGGCAAACGGGGGTCAGCCAGGGCACTGACTATTCAAAGATAGTAAAAAATAGTCTGGGGGCGATTGTTCGACTATTTTTAGCCATTCTTGGGGGGGGGGCCTTGGAGGCGC